ATTCTATTTCCATTCTATTCTACTTTCCATTCTATTTCCATTCTATTCTTCTATTCTCATATTACCCACCTGGCTAGGAGGCTTTTTAGGAGCCCTCTGAGGCATCCTTACTAAAACACCATCAGGACATACACGGTTTGTGCCCCCCATGTGGTTGGTGCAGTGCTGGTCTGCCAGAGGGCAGCTGACAAGTCATCGTTGTGCATGCTGCAAATCCTCTGAGCTGATAAGAAAACTCAAACAATGTGAAGATTTATCTGTTTGCTGGTGGAAATCCTTTCAGTCCAGACAATAATTCTATTTTTTTCGAGGCAAATGAAGAGTTTTTGCTTGGGGACCCCGTGAGGAGCAGAGGCAGCACAAGGATGGGACCCATCACTCACCAGTCAGCAGAAAGATGCTGACGGGGGTGTCTGCACACATTTTTAAGGAGCCTGAAACAGCTCCTTTGAGAGAGGGAGACAGAAGAAAAGAAGCAAAACTGCAGGAGAAACGAAATCTATTTGTAAACCCAAAGGCAGAGTTGACACAAGGCAGCTGGTGCAGGAGTGCAGAGATGATAATGGAGCCTGATGGATAGCTCACAGCATTATCAGATACCCTCCAACTCAAATATGCTGAGGAACCAATTATTTAATGCTAAGGACAGCACAAATGGATGTTTAATAAGCTGGATCACTTCAGGACTGTTGGAGCTCAAGGAGCCAATCCCCCACGGTGTAAGTCTGGAAATGCTGAAATACCTGATGCTTCTGGCACACACTGGCCCTCCCAATCATCACCACCTCTGCCAGGAGACTGGGGGACATGGAGGGGAAACACAGCTGGAATTTGGGAGCAGATGGGTGCAAGAGGCCCCTGGGGTGGGGAAGCACGTTCACCACCCTGGGCTGGCAGCACCCAGCTCTGCAGCCAGCAGCCTTGCTGGTTGCCCTGTTTACAGGAGAAGGGGTTGCAGTTCTCAGGAACAGTCTGGGTTTATTTTCTAGCTGATTACAGAGAGGCAGCAGGGAAGCTGTAGGAGGTGTGGGAGACAGAAAGAAGTTTAGTCTGTGCTCCAGGCACTGATTAGAACCTGTTTTGGAGTCAGGGATGATTCCTGTGAACAAAGCTTCCCTTCTCAAGGCCTTCAGCTGGCAGGGGGGTTGGAGGAAAACAGGGTCTCAGCATCCTCCCTGGCTGCCTTGTCAGGAGGTGACCCTGCAGACACACCATCCCCTCACGTGGGCTGCTCTTGCAGCCTGAGAAGAGACACAGACTTCTGCTCATCCTCCCGTGCTGCCCAAACTAGATCACATGTAACATGGGATAAAAACACCTCCACTAACTATAAAGGGCCCCTATGTTTTTAAATGTCTGAAGATTGCTTCCTGAAACCACATTGTGTAAGTTTCTCATTTATCTACACTCAAACTGTACTATAGGAGATGAGGTGTGTCTTAAAAATCTGCATCTCCCCATGATCCAACCTCCACTAGCACTGCTCCTGTAGTCCACGCTACAACAGAGATGCAAGAATAGGTGTAAGAAAGATATTTTTTATGATGAGGATGGGTGAGGCTCTGGCAGATGTTGCCCAGAGCAGCTGTGGCTGCCTCTGGATCCCTGGCAGTGTCCAAGGCCAGGCTGGATGGGGCTTGGAGCAACCTGGGATAGCTGAAGGTGTCCCTGCCCACGGCAGGGGGCTGGAATGAAATGAGCTTTAAGGGCCCCTTCAACCCAAACTACATTTCTACAACTCTGTGATAGCCCAGCACCCAGATGCTCCTCAGCACCTATTACACAGGTACAGAGGAAATATGTGGGAATTTGGTCCCTGAGGGATGGGAACCTGCAGGGGCTCACAGCATGCCTCTGCTGAGGGTTTGGCCAGTGTAAACAAGGAAGCTGCTCACAACAAGATGGTGAAAAACACCCCAGCCTCCCACCTGACACAATGCAAAATATCTCAGTTCAAAAACATCAGCTCAGGGTCTGGCTCTGGCATATCTGAACCAGCTCAGATGATAAAAAAAAGGATTCTCCTTTCTTCCTGTTTAAGATCTCTAGGCAAACATCCAAGTCACAGCCTCCTGTGTGACAGCTGCAGAAAACAGGTCTGGAGAGGACCTTGAAATGCCACCCAGATCGCAGCCCCGTGACTGGGTCTGGATGGGGCCAAGCACAACAATAGCCAAAAGCACTCCAAGCATTAACAAATATTGTTGCTTGGTGCACTCCTGTGCAGCTGCCAGCGTTATCTGCCGCCTGCTCCTTCCAGCACTCAGCTCTGAGAACACACATATTGATGAGAGCATCTTCCACAGATTTACAGGAAGAGCAATTAGAGGTTTGGTCGTTGACGACAGCAGAGAATCGTGGTGGTGGTGGTAAAGATGATTTGTGCTGATCCATTAACACAGCAAACTACCTCCTCTCCCACAGGAAATCTCAATAACTGAAGGCAGATCAGAATCCCAAGGCCCCAGAAAGGTATCAGGACAACCACATCGTTCTCCCCAGTCTGCATCCTGCTCGCCAGCTCTCCCCACAAAGCTCACCCCAGTGTGTACTCACCAGTACCCTTGGTTTTGTTTCAAAATGGTGATACTCCTCTCGCTCCTCTGACCATTTCCTAAGGAAAAACAGAGGAAAAAACACAAAACAAAACCCCTCATCAGATCCAGGAGCAATTATGTAGTAAAGAAGGGCCAGCTCTGGAGAAGCTGCTGGGACCATGAGAAAACACAGAGCCAGGCTTGCTCCTGCTCTCCCACACGTGTTCCCACGGTCAGTTCCTCTGCTCATCACCTTTTCCTGTATCACAACATCACCTAGCAACACCGTGCCACAGAGGTGCAAGCCCACCCCGTCCTCCCACCGTATCCCATCTCCAGTGACAGCTGGGAGATGAACACCCCGGGCAGAGATCACACCGGAGCAGCTTCACCCATCCCACCCCCAGATAAACATTACACCTCGGGATTATCAGCTTCCTGGGGCTTCCTACACCTACACTGCAGTATCTAGTGGCAGCTGGAGTACCTGCCAAGTACGAATCCACAACAAATCCACATCCCACAAGTGCTGGGGTGCAGAGATGGAAGGTGTATGACCGGCCTCCTCCCAACTCTGCCCATAAAAGTTGCCCGCCCCTCTTAGCTTGGGAAAACCTCTTGGAGAAGTGGAGCTCTACACAAGCTCCTGGCCACCACCTGCACTCCCAAATGATGGAGATGGGGGGCTGGCAATTCCAGAAGCTGACACTTCCACGTGGGAGGCTCAGCAGCTTGGCTGGAGGTGGGCAGGACTCAGGGCTGATGATGGAGATGGGCAGAAGGATGTTTTGGGGTGCTTTACTCCACTTCAAAATGATCTCAAGGCGTGAGACCCCCACCAGCAGGCAGCCACCATATCAGTAGGGTCTCTAGGATAATTTGGGGGGCTGGCCCAGGCTTCTCCTGGGGAGGACAGAGAGGACATTGTGGCTATTAGAACACTGGGAACATATGATGCTGTAGTGCTCAGCTGGAAAATGCTCCTGTAGCCCAGCAGTCAGATGGAAATGCAGTGTTTGCATGCCAAAGAAGCCATAATCTGGGGTATTTTCCCTATAATGGCTCATATTTCAGCTCATACCTGCCCTTGAACCTGGGTTTGTACCTGAGTCCTGGCCAGGGTCAAGAGGTTCCCTCCTATTCATGGAAGCTGCAAGGAAAACAGGATCTCTCTGCCAAGGCTTAGTGGTGTGCAAAGCAAGGAACAGCCACTCTGTGTGCAGCCTCCCCATTTTACATGAGAAGCCTGGAACCAAGGCAAGGAGATATTTATTATCATGGGGCAGCTGGAGATGGAGACACTGCCTTCTCTTCTCAGGTTCCCCAAGAGGTTCCTGACTGAATCCATCTCCCAATCATCTCTTTTCCTTCTCCAGGCAGCCCTTGAATGGGTTTGTTAGTGCAGGGTCCACCAGCACTATTTCCCATTACTCATGACACAGGGAAGTAACTGGGATCCCTCTCCCAGCTTCTAGACAGAGCCACTGATCTTGATTCAGCCTTCATGAGGTTCTCATTCTCATTATTTTCAAGGGAAAGTGTCAACAATATTTTCCAAGTCAGGCTGACACCTGGATGACGATCCCAGGATGGAAAAACCAACAGGCTCTGATCACCCTACCCAATCTATTACACTGCTCTGCACATACAGTCAAGGAACAGAGCAAAAATATGAAGGGTAACCTTTGTGATGGCCTCTAATTCTCCTTCTCATGTGTCTACAGCCACCAGCCTGAGGACATTCAGGCAGCCTGAGGACATTTAGGCAGTCTGAGGACATTCAAGGCATGATCAGCCCTGAGAAAGGGACTTCCCTGCAGCCAATTAGTCCATGTGCCTTCAAGAGCATCCAGCTGCTGTGACCCTCCAGCATGACCTCCTTAGCCAGGGCCCCCTTCAGATCATTAACTCACAAGGAGTCACCATTGTCAAGGACTAATGGCTTGTTTGCCACTCAACAGCCAAAAGTGATCAGCAAGGGGGCAAACAGCTTAATGCAGGCTGCTGTAAGCAAGCCCACACTGGGCCAGCACCATTGTCTTTGCTTAGGGCAAAATTCACAGGGGAGGCTGCAAAAATCCTGCAATGGGTGCTGGCTTCATGGCAGAGCTCATGAGCTCTGCTTGGGTCGATGCACAACCTCTCCCCAGCACCAGGGCAAGGGCTGGCATCACATTTCCCTTGAGAAGTGTGGGGCTTCAGCTCTAACTTCTACCCGAAGTCTCCTTCTCTTCACAGGTCCTTCACTGATGCCGCTCCCCAGAGCAAGGGGAGCTCAGCTTGCAATGTGACACCTTGCTGCAGGCAGGTGGGGTTGGTGTCTTCTCACAAGCAATAGGACAAGAGGGAACAGCCTCAAGGCTGAGCCAAGGCAGGTTGAGATGGGATATGGGAAGAGATTTTTTCACAGAATGGGTGGGATCCCTACTCCTGTAGGGATTTAAAAGCCATGTGGCACCTGGGGAATGGGTCAGTGGTGGCCTTGGCAGAGCTGGGGGCATGGCTAAACTCGATGGTCCTGGAGGACTTTTCCAACCTAAATGATTCTGCAATTCTCTGATTCCACCTAAAACTATTGAAATCACTGTTTGAGGCACAGAGGAATTCTCATGGGGCAATGGATGGAAGCTCCTGGGCTAAGAAAAGGCCGGACCTGAATCACAGTTTCATTAACCCTCCAAGAAGAGTGGCTGTGAATAAACACACTCATGGATCCACCCTCTGAACCAGAAGATGCCCTGGTGCTCTTCCAGCCGTTTCCAAAATGGGATGGGCATTGCTGAGGGCAGCCCAGACTTCATTCTCCCGTTCCCAAAACGCACGTGCGATGAGAAGCTACAAATCAGCCAGGCTTGCCTGTGGCTTCCCCTTCAGCCACAAGGTCCCTTTTAGCTTCCAGGGATGGTTTGCAGAATGACTCGAACACGCCCTCCTGCAGATGACATCCAGGTTTCTAATTACCCTCCCTGAACACACCACTGATGTGCCACATCAGCTCACTCTCGGGGCTGCTCTCTCAACACGTGTCACCAGCAGTGGAGCTTCTGCCTCTCTTCAGCACACTGACCCCCCTATCACCTGCCTAGGCTAAGCTGCTGGGCTGGGAAAGATGATTCCCAAATAAACTGGTGATGTGGAATGCTTGTCCTGCCCTTGGGGTCAAGCCCACGTGAAGAAACAGCCTTTATCACAGAATCACAGGGCATTTTGGGTTGGAAGGCATCTTTACAGCCCACACCCCTGCCAGGAACAGGGAGATCCTCAACTAGACCAGAACCCTGTCCTTGAATGTTTCCAGGATTGGGGCATCCACAGCTTCCCTGGGCAACCTGTGCCAGTGTTTTACCACAATCATTGTGAAAATGTTCTTCCTAACAGTTGATCCAAATTGATTCCCCTTCAGTTTAAAACCATCACCCCTTGCCCTATTGCAATACACTGTTAAGTTTGCCCCCATCTTTCTTCTAAGCCTTCTTCAGGCCCTGGCAGGGGCTCTGAGCTCTCCCTGGAACCTTCTCTTGTGCAGCTGAGCAGCCCCAGCTGTGCCAGGCTGGCTCCAGAGCAGAGGGGCTCCAGCCCTGCAGCATCTCTGGACATTCCAACAGGACACAAGGGATTTCTCCAGGGTGTCTACACTGGGAACAGCCCTGCCCTCAACAGAACAACCACTCACATATTTCCAGTGGACTTCCAAGAGTCCCATCCATGCTGTAGCCCTGACCAGCCAGTAGCTAGAATTTAGCTCACCTGAAGCACAGGACTGCCCTGGACTGACAGCCAGCACATGGACATGTCCTCCCCTGTGTCCAGGCCCAAGGCTGAGCCCCAGGGACAGCCTGATAAATCTGCACCAGTCCCTGGCACACCAGGTAGGATTCAGCTCCAATTAAGGCATCTCAGTTGAGGTGCCCACACAGATTTAGGTGCCTTAATGCAGGTTCTCATTGCTACACTGGACTCTCTAAGCTATCCCAGACCCATGTCTGGCTTTTCCAGACAAAACCCTGGACCTGCATGCCTCCTGACTGACAGATGGAGACTAAGCAATGTGTCCTAGAGTAAAAACCTGTGGCCAGCAGCTGAATTGTGACTACACGTGTGGTGACTGCCACAGCCCTTACTGCAGCTCATGGGGTGCAGCTTGGCACGATTTTGAGTGTTTGGTGAGCCATTTAGTTACTCAAACTTCAGTATCTCTTTTGGGGTGTGAAACGCCCTCCAGACTCCACTGACTGTAAAAGGAGATTGGGCACCAAGTTATTATTTTTATCTGCCACTTCAGCCTATCTCCAGCTCCTGGTCTAAGTTTCAACAGCTCCAAAATAAAACCCATTTGCATGGGATGGGGATGCCCTGCAGCTCTGCACTCTCAGTCTCCTCTGCTGTGATGAGCAGCACGATCCTGGCACATCCACACTTCCAGTACAGCTCCAGTGCTTGTGTGCCTTCTGTATAATAGGACTAAAACAAATAAATTTGACAAAGAAAAGAGAAGGAACAACTGATATGCAAATCCATGTCATAAATCATTCACCAAATCTGCTCTGCACTTTTGAAATAATCTTGGAGGTTGTTTCCCAAGTGCTGTTTGCAAACACTCTGTTAATCCGGGAAGCAGATGCTGCTACAGTAGGCTGTATTATAGCATGTTCAAGAAATCCCCATCAAATGTTACTTTAAAATACCCATGACTTTTGCAATCAGTTCTTTTTAAATCTTCTTGGCATATCTGAAAACTAAACATCATAAAAAAAACCTTTGCTGTGATTCAGCTGTATTGGGTCTAAGCCTGGGGAAGAGTTCATCTCACATCTCCTTTCATACCCAGGTGACCCCCAAATTCCTCCCAGAGGCCTCTGCCCATTTCCTTCACATGCTCTAAAGAGTCTTTGATTTCCCCAGACTCTTCCTGACTTCAGCTGAAAGCCTGTGTTGCCTCAAGCAGGGCAGTGCCCTGGAGATACCCTCTAGAAACATGGGAGCCAAGTCACCCACGCCCCTGCAGAAAATCCCACATGGAAAACATACTCTGAAAAGGCATTTCTACCATGCCCTGGCACACGTGGACATTTCATTG